TCATAACAAATTCATTTTAACCCCAAATCACAAAATTCCAAAACTCACAGAAACTTCATTCAAAGCACTACAAATCTCATGAAGAATATTTCTGACCTCCGTAACTTGCAGTGCTTTAAAATGCGGAATCTTTTTAGATATAGAAAGGACATAAAATTGAAAAGGAGGAACAAATCCCAAAAAACATGGATCAGGTGCTCTTTAGCATACTTCGTGTGGAGCCTTGTTGGATTTGTTCTCTTGTTTCATCTCTACACTTCAATATGCCGCCTTGAAATTCTAAATAGAGAGCTCATTGTGAAAATGAGTCAGCATCCGCTCTTAAGTGAAGCAGAAGTAATTGAGGATGAAAGTATCCAAATGCCTCCGCCAAGAAGGAGATCTCCACGTGCTGTTATGAGAAAACCTAAGCCGCCAACCACTTTAATTGATGAGTTTCTTGACGAGTATTCCCAAATACGGCATGTATTCTTTCCTAAAATAGAGACGGCCATAGATACCATGATGTGTGCTGAAAGCGACAAATTTTACTATTACCCAGGGAGAACATGGCTTGACACTGAAGGAAATCCGATTCAGGCCCATGGGGGTGGTATTGTGTATGACGAGAGGTCGAGTAAGTACTATTGGTATGGGGAATATAAAGATGGACCCACTTACCAAGCTCACAAAAATGGATACTCACGGGTATATTCTTGATTTATGATATAGTTTCCTTTTGTTCATATATACATATATTAATTTCTTGAGGCATTTTTTGTTGTCTAATTAAACATATGTTGTGATAGTGTAATTTGTATTGTGGAATTGCTTTGCTTGTTGCTTTAGGAAGTTTTACTCTTTACTTGTGGAGTTTAGTATAATCTTCTTGATGAGCTCTGTTATAGTTATGTTCTTGCATATCTATGTGAAATTGCTGACGATTTCATTCTGTCATCATTGATGAATATAAAATCTCTGTCAGGATATGCTATAGAATAGAAGATGCAAGTTTCCAAATTCTCATGAGTGGTGGTGATATAGTAAAATTTGTAAGACTTGTGAGTTCATGAGAACCCTAAACATGGTATATCACATCGTACACTTGAGATGTTAATCAGCAAAAATAAAAAAAAACCTCCTAGAAATAAAAGAAAATTTAAAGAATAAAGCTAATGAGGACTCATTAAATATTATATAACAACCAATGCATCTTAAAGATCAAACATGTTCATACAAATAACAACAATAATGACATAGCCAGTAAAAGAATATATAAATGCAAACATATTGGGACATTGCTAAGTACATTCCAAACAGTGACCAAGAATTAGAAACACCAATTTCTGTATCTTATCTGGACAAATTCCTATAAAACATATTATTACATATGTAAGAGAAGTAAATGAAAAGATGAAATTACCCTGATAATTTCATAATTGTTCAATCCGACTTCTGATAAGAGTTTGCCCAACAGGCAATATTTGTGCCCAACCTGAATCCTCAACACCTTCAACCGTGCAAGAGCAGCTTCTCCGCGCTTAGTCTTGTGAGGGATCATTCTAACAAATATATATAATATGTTACTCAAGTATAACAAGTTTCACCACTTCAATTAGTAGAGGAAATGAATCAGCAAATGAACACTAATTAAAAGGCCTCTGTAAATAAGAGTTTTATCTCTACTAGTTCAGCCTTAAATGAAAAAAAGAACATAAAAGAATTTTAATCATCAAAACGCAAAAACTGAGATCCAAACCTCAGAAGTTTAGTTTCATAATCAGAACCAAGGCTGTGTATGCGTATATTTGTGTGATTTTGCGTGTTCAGAACCAACAACCAAATGCATAAGCCAAAAAAATACATGGCATCATCATCCATTTCATTTCAGTAACGACATTAAAGAAAGAAACCAAAATAAAAAAAAAAAAAAAGGAGAAATGAAATCATACCCAAGAACAGTTCTCCACAAGATCTTTGAAGGGGTACGGAAGTGAATGGGGCCATGAGAAGGCTTGGTATTCCTTCGCTTGCGAAGGAACCTCAAGTACTTCATCTTCTGAAAATAAGACCACCAGGCTGTTTATCACATCGGACGACCACAATCTCCGGCTGTTCAAGAGCTCTTTAGCCAAAATGGAAGCCAAGCGGCCAAGCCTGTGGTGCATCGCATCCACAAACACTCTTTTAGAGCAGATCCCTGAACCGGAGACCATCTCTCCGCTTTCTCTCAACGTCTAGTTCTGAAAGAAGGGAAGAATAAAGCGTGTCAGAAACTAGGGTTTTTTAAGTTCTCTCACTTTCTCTCAACCTCTCGCTTAGAGAGCGGAAGGAAAGGCATCGGGGATTTGACACAGAAAAAGCAACTGATAAATAGATGGCTTCGAATAAATCTTGAAAAAACTGTGAAGAATCGACAGCACAGAAAAAGCAACTGATAAATAGATGGCTTCGAATAAATCTTGAAAAAACTGTGAAGAATCGACAGCTGAGATTCGACTGATCAAACCGATACAAACACATGAAGATGTTGCAGGTCCGGATCGATGACGTGGCTTGGAATTGGAATTGGGTTATATAATTTATTTGGGACGAATATAAATTTCTTGGCCCAAGTTGCTGTTGCCTGTTTGATCAGTTGCAGTATAGGGTCTATTGGGCTTATATCTCAATTTCTTATTATAAATGTTCTTTTACATAGTTGGTTAATCTATATATATATATATATATATAAATAATAAGAATACTATTNCTATATATATATATATATATATATATATATATATATATATATAGGATTTGGTTCTAATGAGAACTAAGTCCTAGCATAAAAACCGTGAGAACCGCTATTTATAGTTGTACATAGTGTTATGATTGATTTATTCTAGTGCTATTTTTAAAATGGATCTATTTTCTTAAAAATAGCAACACAATTTATATTAGCATATGTGAAAATGATAGCGCCATGTAATATTAAAAATAGCATCATACACAATAAAAATAGCATCAAATGCGGTTCTCACACCAGGACTAGTTTTTATTTGAACCACTCCCTATATATATATATATATAATTACTAGCCAAACATTTAATAAAACCTCAAAATTTTTTCCTCCAAAAGACGTTATTTTGCATTAATTAAGTATTTATATTTTTTATTTATTTTATTATATAACAACTACCATCACATTAAATGGTATTATAATTTAAGTTTTTTTTAAACTATTTATTTAAATTATTATTTTCTTGTTTTAATTTAAGAAAGTTTTTTTTATTAAGATTAGTTATTTAATTTTTATGATATAACCAAATTTTTTGAAATTTCGTACACAATTGCTATAATAATAATAATTTTAATATTGTTCTATCTAATCAATTGTTCATAATAAAATAAGATTAAAAATTATATAACTGCAATCGATATAAAGATTAATATGTAAGCTAACAATTTATCGTTAATTTTTACTAATAATAAAATATATAAAATGTGAAATGCTATTATCTAACTTATGATTTTAAACATTACATACACATACATATAACATATAAAATTTTATTGGCATATATGCATGTGCACAGGATCGAAAGCTAGTATGAGTTTAACTAAAAATATTAAAAAATGATTATTAGTTGTTATATTATAAATAATGCCTATTGATTTTGTAATTTTATTAAATACTTTATATCTTTTTACATGCTTGACAACAAAGGAAGACAAAAGAAGGGTAATACATATCTCTTATATATATACTACAAAATTTGCTGAAGCCCCTCATGTAACACCATTTAAAGAGAAAGGATAACAAGAAACAGAGAGAAACCTAACCATCAAAAATAAATTTGTTTACTAGAGAACTACGAATACCCTCTCAACAATGCTCTGTGAATTGGTTGCTTGGCCTCACCTAGCTCGTACTCTTGAGCAGACAATGGGAGGATTTGTGCTTGTTCCCCAACTGCAAACCTAATGCAATTGTATGTGAATAGTAGCTTGTCATTAATGAGAATGTGCATATGTTCTTGTAGTTCTATGTTTTTCTTTTTTATCTTTGCTATGATTTTTCATTAGACTGGGCATAGTATTAAAAGAGATTTTGACATATATAGTAGACACATCTTAATGTGCTCAAAGTGGATAAGCAAATAAAATTCTATTAAATTTTTTCAAAATTAAATTGAAGTACCATATGTAAATGAGGTCTTATGCAAATAGTGGGTTGTGAGTAATAGGAGAAGTTTTGAATTGATGCCAATAAAGAAATTACATGCACAAATTCCATGAATATAAAAGGTTCACTGAAATGCATCTTGCAAGAAAAGACCACTGAAACTAAGTGAAAACAAACAATCAAATGAAATGCATCTTGCAAGAAGAGTTGATTTCATGACAAGATAATAACAAAAACTCAGTCTTTAGTGTAAGCCATATATAATTACTTCACCACAAAAACTCGTATAAGCAAACCAGCTTGGATATCTAGCAACGGTTGTATCGGAAAACTCAACTACACACACACACACACAAACACGAGAAAACACATTGCTTTCGATCAACTTCCTTAACTCCAAGAATTTCTCAAAAAGCATTAGCAGAAAAACAATCAACTAGCAAAAAGGGGGGAATAACAAAAAATAAAAAGAAAGGAAATTACCGAAAGGCCATATACTTCGAGGAAGCTTCTTCCTTCTGTATCCAACCAAAATGTCATTTTTCACTCGAAGCTAACCTCAGTTGCATGTCTAGGCTTGTTTTTTCTCTGACTTCCATTTTGTCTATAGCTGACATTTTTACCCGAAGGAGGACGAGCTAAAGGTCAATACGGATGGTAGCATGGTAGCTTTGTTCCTGCGGCGGGGATGGCGAGTGCAGGTGGTGTCATTCGCGACCACCATTGGCGTTGGGTACGTGGGTTCCTGATGAATATCAGGTTCTGTTCGATATAAGGTCCGAATTATGGTGGTTGTTCCAAGGGTTACAATTAGCATGGGATATTGGGGCCCGAAAAATTAAAGTTGAAGTCGACAACAGGAGCATCATTGAGATGGTACAGTATGATGATTATAGCGGGCCGCATGAGAGTGTGTTGAAGGGGATTCAGGAGCTAATGGGCCGTCTGTGGGTTATGGAGATTATTCATGGCTATAGGGAGACTAATTTTGTTGCGGATTATTTGGCATCCTTGGCGACCAAGGATCCGCGTGGTCTTCATCGTTTGGAGTGCCATCCGCCGGGGGCGGGAATCTGGTTACATCATGACATGATCGGCGTGTCTTATCCTAGGAAGATTATTTTATAGTTTGCGTAGGCTTTGCCTCCCTTTCTTGTACAAAAAAAAAAAAAAAAAAAAAAAAAAAAAGACATTGCATAAAAGTGAAAAAGAGATATATATTAATCCGGCTTATAGTTTGTGTAGGCTTTGCCTCCCTTGAGTTTGTTGATAGCTAATCCTGATAGCAGATGAAGAAGCATGATTTTGACATAAGAAATTATGAATCAATGATCGAGTAGATTGGAAAAGATATTGATACAAAATCACGCATCTTCTCTATATGGCGAAAAACTCTCACCCCCAAATCCGAGTTAGTCGTCGTCTTCATTCTTCTTCATTTGGCCTTCCTCGGCGAGCGGCGACCTCTGGCCAGTGGTCGCCCTGACCGCTCGGACCACCCCTGAAGTTGCACGCCTCTGATATTGCTGTGGTTGTCGGGAATTGGTCGTCAGACTTCGATTGACGGCTGGCCTGGCAGTGGTGAGCCCGATCTTCGATTGGTCGACGACTAGTATTCCGTCCTCCGATGGGTCTTCTATTGTTGAAGGTATGTTCCACGATATATTCTAGGTCTTCTTCTATCGGCTTCTCTTTCCGGCAGGGCCTTCGAGGGAGATTTGGATTCGGTCGTCGATGGCCTTCGGTAGTGTGGGAGGGAGTGCGGCTCTTCGAGGGTGGGGCGGGGCTCTGGCAGCTTCGTTGTCTTTGATGGGGCAGTCGGAGTTGGGGACCGCGCAGCTTGCTACCCGCTGGTCCTCTGGTGTTGGGAACGTCGGGGTACTTGGATCTCCTAAGCCTGGCTAGTGGTGTTAGACAGGTTCGGGAGGTGCTGATGTGGAGAGCTGGTCTGTGGTTCCTTCGGTTGGAGGTGGGTCGGTTCAGGTCAGGTTCGGGGTCTGGGTTGGCTTCTGTGTAGGCGTTTACGCAGTTTCGGGAGTTGTGCCTTGGGCTTCGGATCTCTCTTAGATTCGATTGGTTCTCTGCTGGTTTTGATTCGTCTGGTTGGCTGGGGAAGGGCATGCCCATTTTTATTTAGTTTTTTATCCGTGTTGTTTGAGTCTGTGTTGTTTCTCGTTAGGTGTTTTTAGTTTGGGCCGTTGGCCCCTGTATTGTTGTATTGTGTTTTTGGTTTGGGCCGTTGGCCCCTGTATTATGTGTGCCCGGCCGTGTTCGGGTTTTCTCCTGTGGAGAGCATTCCATATTCTCCCGTGGGGAACTTTGTGTTTCTTTGTTTGTGTTGTAGTGTCGGTCGTTTTTTAATCTTGTTTTTTGTTTCTAGCTTGGCTAGCTACGGTTCTAGGCGGTCTCTGAACTTCCTTTTACTTTTTCAGCCTTTGGTTATATCATTCAGTTATGGGTTGTACTTTGCACATTTTTGTGTTTTGATTTATAATACTTCTATTGTTTCGAAAAAAAAAAAAAAATGATCGAGTAAATTATTCAGCTTAAAAGCAAGTTGCGCTCATCTCAATTATTATAAACTTAAAGAGACACATTGCATTTCAAACTTGCACCAAAAACAGTGTAAATGTCAACTCTTACTAAACTTTATCTACTTAATCCCACTACACTTAGCCCGCTAAATGAAATCGATTATAAATTTATGCTGCAAAATCTAGTGTATCAACATCCGACGTTAAAGAAATTAGAAATGGCACTAACAGTGGCTATCACTATCCAATATTGAGCTTATATACTGTGCATTGTTTATATATAAAGAGTTAAACTAATGAATGATGCGCACTGCCGATATGCAAACTTATGTAATTGCCTCCGACAAATTTAAGAAGGAAAAAGTTTCTGACCTAATGCTTACTTTATAGAAGATTAAGTTAATCTGAAAGAAAGAGTGTTAATTAATCAAAAGTAACTTTTTTTCACATGTATATATGAGTGCATTGCTGTTAAAAGTACTCCTCAATTGACTCTTTCTTCAATCGTTGCATTTTTTAAGTCTTTCAAATCATTTCTCATTATTGAAAAAAAAAAAGGTAGCAAAGATAAAATATAATCACATATTTACAGATTCTTTTGTTTGTTCATTTTCTCACCCCCAACGTTTCTTTTATAGGAACGATCACTTGTTTTAAACATATGATTTCAAGATATTATATTTGTTGCAATTAGCCAACTTAGTTAGTCGGGTTTAAGATTATTTCATAAATGTTCACATATAGTCTTCTTCAAACATAGCACGATCGGCTTTCCAATACCTGCAAACCGTGCTAGGAGGTATTCTCAAAATAGTGCATAAACACTATGCTGATGAAATCGAAAAGCATGCTAATACAATTGCATATTTATTTAAAGAAAATGATATTAAGTTTCCCTGTAGAAGACATGTTTATATCATCCTAAATTCCTAATTACATTATCCTACAAGACAACTAAATAGTTGAGCTGTTTTAATTTGTATTCGGACTCAACCTAGGATTATAACTCCCATAATTAAATACTAGTACTGCCCAAAAAGCCGTTACAGTTCATAATTTGGTCCTGCCCAAGGTTTATTATTAAATCAATTAGTCCCATTTCTTACTTAATTAAGTTAGGTCAAACGAGCTGCATGCTAGTAGATGTAGCATGCAGTTGTGTAGTAAACAGACCGTACATTTCGCCAAAATAAGCTAATTAATTAATACACACCTGAAAAATTCTTGACTTTTTTTTAAGTACAGCCAACCACTTTGAAGATTTTTTTAACAAAGAAAAGCTATGTGAATTTTTGAAATTCCTCACGTATGACACGGAGCTTCAAGTACCTTTTAGGTGGGTTAGATCATAGATGAAAATTCAAATTGGTTGACTATTTTTTTTTTTTTTTCACTAAAGCGATGGTACAAATTTACTAAAATATACACTAAATATGAAAATCAATCTCAACCATAAGTTTTACGCGTTATTTTGGTGTTTGGATGAAACTATGTTACCACTTACCAGTATACATGCTTTTTAGCAAAAATTTCATTGTTATTATTGTCTGTGTTCAATATCACTATTACACACTTTTCTAAACTATATCTCCACCAACAAATCCCCATTACGATCATAAAGAAACAAATTTTCATTATTAAACAGCATAATTTGTTGAGTTTTTATTCTTTTAAAATTCGGGCCATGAAAATGAAATATATTTAATATAAGCCCACCTGACCAATATTTTGGACAGTTCAAGTTGACAGAAAACAATAAAAGCTGATGCGCTCAGATCTCTCCTAAGACTCTTTGACATAATTAATAATCACGAAAACAGATTCGTAAATCATCTAATTCTCTCGTCTTGTGTCCAATTCTGGACAAAATCCCATGTGTTCGAACTTCAAATTGAACTTCTCTCCAGTCTTTGCCGAAAACCTTCTTAGATTCTTGATAGAGACAACTCTGTTACTGGTATGTGTGTATGTATCTATATTGCTCATACACTATACTATTCCACCACCTCTCCTTGTTTCATTAATGGGTTTTATTGGCAAGTGAATCATTTTTTCTTTTCTCATTTACTCTTTCCCTTTTCTTTTGTGGGGAAGGGCAATTTCCAGTTTGTATTCATTGGTAATATAACATCTTTGCAATTGCAGGTAGTTTAACATCATAAAGCTGGAATCTTTTGTCCTGTCAAAAGATGTTACTTTTATCATCTTTAATGGTTCAATTAGGTGTAAAAAATTTGACTCTTGAGGTTTGCTTTTCATGTGTTGCTTGTTTGGTTTTGCAGTTTGGCAATTGGGTGATTTATTGGAATTCTGTCAATTTACAGTACTACTATATTGCTCAGAAATCAGCGAGGAGTTAATTCTCTTTCAGGTCGATCCTGCTCTCAACTTGAATACATTCCCTTTGTGTGGTTAATGGGAAATTGGGGATTCTCGATCATCCTCATCCTGCTGCTGCTTTTGTTGGAAACATGCTCAGCAAGCGTGCAACAAATCGGGAAACTGAATCCCGGCTTCAAAGCATCCCAAATGGACTTCATAGACAATGATGGATTATTCCTTGTATCCAACAAATCAAATTTCGCCTTCGGTTTCACCACCATCACTGACGTTACTCATTTCCAGGTCGTCGTCATCCACAAGAGCAGCTCGACCATCATTTGGTCCGCCAACAGGGGCTCAACAGTTGATAATTCGGACAGTTTCCAGTTTGACAACACTGGAAACGCCTACTTAGTCAGCGGTGGGTCCACCATCTGGTCCACCAACACCGCCAACAGAGGAGTTTCGTCCCTCGAGTTGCAAGACTCTGGTAATCTTGTTCTAGTTGATGACGGCGGCCGAGTGGTCTGGCAGAGTTTTAGCCACCCGACAGACACCCTTGTGTCGAACCAGGAATTTTCCGAGGGGATGAAGCTCACGAGCAACCCTGGCTCCAATAACTTGAGCTACTCCCTCGAGATTATGTCCGGGGACATGATTCTTTCTGCAAATTTCGTGCCCCCGCAGCCCTACTGGTCCATGGGCAGCGACAGTCGAATAACCATCGACAAAGCTGGCGGCAAGGTGGCCTCCGCTGTCCTCACCGCCAATTCATGGAAGTTTTACGATCCAAACAAGGCGCTACTCAGGCAGTTCATCTTCTCTAGTGGCACCAGTGATAACTCCACTTGGGCTGCGGCTTTAGGAAGTGATGGTTTCATAAATTTCATGATGCTACTCGATTCTTCCCCGAGCCAGTCCTCAGCTAGGATACCTCAGGATCAGTGTAGTAGACCCGCCGCATGCGATCCCTACTACGCCTGTTACCCTGGAAACAAGTGCCAGTGCCCGTCGGGATTCCCCTCCTGCAAGTCATTGACCGTCCCCTCGTGTGGTGACGTAAAGCTGGTGAGTGGCGGTGATGGGCTTGGCTACATTGCCCTGAAATTCGTGCGGCCCTTCTCGAAAAACATGACTCTGGATGGCTGCAAGGCTTCTTGCCTTGAGAACTGCTCGTGTGGTGCCATGTTCTTTGACGCCAGTTCCGGAAGCTGTTTTCTGTTCAACAAGATAGGAAGCATGGTGGGGTCCGGCAGCTATGCCTCCTACATCAAAATCTTCACCGGAGGGGCGAATAACAAACACTTTCCGGTGGTCATCCTCATCGTGGTCCCGACGGTGCTTGTCATATGTGGTTTGCTTTTCACGGGGTTCCATCTCTGTAGAAAGAAGAACGTTAGAGGAGCACCTGAGAACTCCAAGGAGAGCTCGGAGGACGAGGACCACTTCCTGGAGGGCCTGCCGGGGATGCCTATCCGCTTCAGTTACAAGGACCTCAAGGAGGCCACGCGCAACTTCTCAATGAAGCTTGGGCAGGGAGGATTTGGGTCCGTTTACCAGGGCACCCTTCCTGATGGGACCCGTCTTGGCGTGAAGAAGCTGGAAGGCATCGGGCAGGGGAAGAAGGAGTTCCGGGCAGAGGTCAGCACCATCGGCAGCATCCACCACGTCCACCTAGTCCGGCTCAGGGGCTTCTGCGCCCAAGGCAAGCACCGGCTGCTCGTGTACGAGTACATGGCTAACGGCTCCCTTGACCAGTGGCTCTTCCGCAAGGACAAAAGAGGAGTCTTGGTGCTCGATTGGGACACGAGGTACAACATAGCCGTGGGGACTGCCAAGGGCCTAGCATACCTCCACGAGGATTGCGACGTCAAAATAGTCCACTGCGACATAAAGCCCGAGAACGTGCTTTTAGACGACCACTTCATGGCAAAAGTGTCGGATTTCGGGCTAGCAAAGCTCATGACTCGGGAGCAGAGCCACGTATTCACTACATTGAGGGGAACGAGAGGGTACCTTGCGCCCGAATGGATCACAAACTACGCCATATCTGAGAAAAGCGATGTTTACAGCTATGGTATGGTATTGCTTGAGTTGATTGGCGGCCGGAAGAATTACGACCCCACAGAAAGTCCTGAGAAGTCACATTTTCCGTCATATGCATTTAAAATGTTGGAGGTAGGGAAAATAAAGGATATTGTTGATGCGAAGGTGAGGGTGGAGGAAGAGGACGAGAGGGTGGGTATAGCAATCAAGGTGGCACTTTGGTGTGTGCAGGATGAGGTGTACCTGAGGCCGCCAATGACTAAAGTGGTGCAGATGCTGGAGGGGCTCAGCCCGGTGCCACTGCCCCCAACGCCAACTCACCTGAATTTGAGCTTATCTCAGTCGATAAGTGAGGAGGGGACTTCGTCAGGGCCTTCAGATTGCAACAGTGATGCGTATCTATCTGCTGTTCGCCTTTCTGGTCCAAGATGACAGTTTGTTTTTTGTGATGCGAAAGAGTTTTGTGGTTTGATCCTAGGCTTTTGCAGACTATTTTCTTTTTCCCCCTTTTTTTTTTACAAGTCTTTTTCCCCTTTTTTAAGACACTTGTATGGTGATTGGTGAGTTTTGTGGGTTAATTCTGTAAATTTCATACAATCCAGATTTTTTTT